TATTAGAGATTAAGAAACTAGGACCAATAACAAATGTAGATTTAACCGAAAGTTTAAGTAAAGTAATACGGCCATCCATGGAACTGTCCCCAAGGGACTTGCATTCATGCGGTCTATTGCCTCCATGGGTTTCGCCCGCACTTCCATGCTCCAACTAGATCTGTGTCAGTGTGGCAAAATAGTAACTATGCTATCAGCTGGGTAACAAATGTTTGTTTATAAGGGCTGTTTTTATGCATATATTATGAGCAATGAATTCTCAGCTCGTTCCGTCATGCGGATCAATCAAGTATGGCACCTTTTGGTTATAAGCCAGCGCGTCAGTAGCAGTATACTTTGCATGGGCATAATTGTTACTATGGAAGCTGTAATCCATCACCTCAAGCGATCAGCCCAATCATGGCCAACAATGAAACAAGGAAGCATATAAACTATGAGGAATTAAAAAAAGTAATAATGAACACAATCGCTTGCCGATAGGCCAATCGAAATTTGATGGAAAACCTTGGCGAATGAGGACTACGGTACAGAGACTTCAGCTTGAAAGGTGTAGTGCATTTTCCAACCAGTGCATCAAAGTAGAAAACAGAGTAGGTTACTCAGCGTGATAGGACTAAGATCGCTTATAGATACATAAGAATGCAACCATATGTAGGTAAAATTATAACATTGAGACAATTAGGGGATATGGCGACTTTCAAGTATAGCCAGGACCTTTCTCATACAAATCATCTGGAGTCATCTTTTGGCTAAATGTTGACCAGCTATTTGAAACGGTCAGGTAAATATTAACCATGCGTTTGAATTGCGGATAGGTAGTGTAGTTTTTAATACTCAATGGAAGTTTGTTCCATATTAAGGCATATGTTACGGAAAAATTTGAGCGGAACTTGGTGCGAGTTCGGTATTTGCAAAGTGCACTCGCTGGATCCTAGTTCATAGCGCATACGAGTCTGAAACTCGAGTTATGGCTGAGCAGTGAAACTTAATCAAACTAGTAAGCGGTATAGAAGGCACAGAAAAATTTGAGTCTGCGCAGCCATAGCGGCTCCAGTTTTAGAGCCTCGCAATGCACACAGTATGTCATAGTGTTAGGTATGTTCAAAAACCTCTTTGTGAATGATCGTTGAATGTTTTCTAGTGCTATGATGTCCACTTTGCTCAGATTACCCTGCACTATCATACAGTAATCAAGCTTCGGTCCAACACGTTTTAAAGGCTTGTAGTCTGGAATACCTTAGGTAAGCTTACGACTTATGTAGGCCATCACTTTTCTGGCAGAAACCTGTGAGAATATAACACGCTATAAAAAATTAAATGAGGCAAAATATCTTAGACCAAGGTCTCGGACTGCGCCACCCATAGTAATAGGGGTGTCGTTTAAGATTAGAATGTTCGGAGAAGGGCCACAGTCGTTGTACAATAGATTACACTTGTCAGTGGCAAATTTCAACTTTCAGCAGTTACTGCGGTGCTCCAATGCGAACAACTCACTGAATACAGGCTAAGTTAGGATTACGTTACCAAGGGGCGGAACAATGCACAAGTTTAAAATCATCAGCGTAGAGGAATGGCTTCCCGTACAAGATTTCACCAAGATCGTTGAATTAGATTAAGAATAAAAGCGGGCCTAGCACGCTACCTTTAACCACTCCACTAGAGATTGAGGTGGCTTCAGACGTATGGGTACCAAATTCGACTACTTGCTTTCTACTCTCGAGGTAGGAGGACAACCAATCTAGAAGAGAATTTGTGATAACATAGGACATAAGCTTCCGCAACAATAAGTTGTGTAGAACACAGTCGAATACCTTTTGGATATCAAGAAATATTACAACGATGGCAATTCCGGCGTCTTTTGATCTACTCACATAAACAAGATAATCTGACAGGTAGTGCAATACCTACCCTTCACTAAACCGTGCTGATGTTTACCGAGAAGGCTTATACAACTGAACTATTCTATTATGCGTTCTTTAACTAACCTCTCCATGATTCTGGCGATAATATATATGTGGGGAATTGGGCGTTAATCACTTACAGCTTGAATAGACACGCTTTTGTGTCGTGGTATTATAGTTGACTGTTTCCAATGCAAAGGATACTCCCCATTGAGCATGGAAAGTGTAAGTACATTGAGCAAAAACAAGGGGATGTCTGGACCTTCGTGCTTGACTGGAATTAGAGGGATATTGTCAGGGCCTTGTGAGCATGATGGCCGAACTAATCTGAGTTGGCGGCATGTCACAAAGTGTGAGTTCAACAGTTTGGAGTGTATTACTGCTTTCTGTATCAGCTTGAGCTGAGGATCTTCATTCGCATTAGTGCTATAAGTAGACATGAAGTAGTCAATGAAGATCGAACATATGATTGCGTAATCGGTTATGATAGTTACATCAGAGTTTACAATCGAGTTAATATAACTTGATTTGCTATTCTACCTACGGTCCAAAAGTTTTGAAATGTAGCCTAACAAGTTGGCGCCCTTCAGTACCATTACCTCCTCAGAGCATAGCATTTTGTGGTGATCTTGGTATAACGCTGTTAGCATTCTGGTGTGGAACATCAGCAGAGTAAAATCGTTTGTTTTCCTTAACTTCCCTTTATTTTATGAAGTTTAGTGGCTACCTTTTTCGAGATGCCTGCAGATGCAGCAGTCCTATTCAACTTCTTAGTACATTCTGGAGCCAAAGCTGAATACGGTGATAGAACTCATCACAAGCATTTTGTACGTTCTGTGCGAAGAAAAATGGATCCCAATTTGAATACCTTATAAGATACGACAAAATTGACCGATTAATAGAAAAGAATGGGCCGGATTTGATCACTGATTCTATCGGTTTAGAAAGAATTTGGAAAGAACAACCAACGATGTTATGATCACTACCCGGCAATCTGTCACTGATGTATGTGGACACATGTGAACATCCCATAGTAAATATTAGATCAAGTGTGTTACCAAACCGAGTAGGCTATTTGACGTGCTGTACCCATCTCAGTCGACCAAAACTAGACATAGAAGTATTGTGCTTTTTGTTCATTGTTGAGGAACCATGGGATTTCGGGCACATTAAAATCCCCAGCGATTATTTTATAAGTGTATGAGAGGTGGGCAATAAAAGAAACATTATCAAGTCCTCGGTCAGGGTGAGTGCCGACGGTGGGGGTCTGTAAATGCAACCTGCTAAAAGATTTGTCGGATTAATAGACATGGTAATCCATACCGAATCAGGAGGTTTCCGTAGGAGTGGTTCATCCAGAGGAAGAACCAAGTATATGTCTTTGACGTAGAGCATACAGCCACCACCTATGGCATAAAGGCGGTTATTACGAAAGATGTTATAACCCAGTATCCAGAACAATGTGTATGGCATCTCCGCTGAACACCAGGTTTCTGTTATTAGTACTAAATTAGGAGAGGAAAGGTGCAGAATATTACGCAGGTAAAGCATTGTATGTAAGAATGAACGAGAATTAATTAACCGCAATTGCAGAGTCACGTTATCTGTTTGGTTGTCTACAGGAATCCAGGTACAGGATAGAGTGGAGTGGGAATGGTAGATACGGAGGACATATGGTTTGCGGAATTAGTGTCATTTTGAGGTGTGGCAGGTAAAACGCCACTGTACTCCTCAAAAAGGCCAGAAGGGCGAAATACTGGGAAAATTTTGACCCACTGTGAGACCACAGTTTGTTGGCTGTCGCAAATAACCTACCTGCCTGTTAAGGTTATTTACATGTTGAGGAAGTTTGCGAGGATTTTGGTTGTGCCTATTTCTCTCAGCTAAGTGGATTTCACTAGCAAGTGCCTCACAGGTTATGGAGTGCACTGGTTGCATATTCGAATGTTGCATGGTTGGAGATATGCCGATTGTCTGCTGGTGTCCTGTGGTGGCAGCGTTTAGTGGAACGTGTTTAATAGCAGTGTTTTTATTGTACTTAGGTGCATGCGTATAGACGCCACGTGAGGTTGTGCTATCAAGGTCCTTTACAACATGCAAGTGTATGGTTCATGTTGTACAAATTTATCAGTGCCCTTACATAAATAGTTTCGCGGACCATGAAAACTGTTACAGGTCTGGCACAGCCCTGCAAAACCCACTCGGGTTTCACAGGAGCCAGTACAGGTCGGGTCCGAACAACGAGGTCGCTTTGCAGAGACCCAAACTATCCAGTTCAGAGCGGAGCTCTCTCTACGGAAACTGCCGTCAAGGTTCCACTCATCTGCACAGATCACAACGGAGTTGTCCTCAGACAGAACACGACCAACGTTTCGCGCACAGTTTCTACTGAACTCGCCCCAGTCTCACTATCGTATCTCCCGGATTCTCCTCAAGTCTGCCGTCTGTCTGCTGAGCCGTGGTCATGTCAACACCTTAGCCACTGAGCACACTCATCAACTCCGTTGATCCAAACGTCTCAACAGTATCGAACCAGCGCATCTCTTCCCGGATGACAACTCATGTGCCAACAAACATATGCCTTCTCTTACCGTTAATACAATTACTACTGTTTTAACGAACTATAAATATGAATATGCAGAAAGCACGGTTGCTTCGTTTGAGTCAGTACAGTACGCTTACTATTGGCCAGTCTTCTTTGTGCGGGTCTCGGCACACTTGTGCGGCGTTACGTGTTCCGTCCGCTTTATTAATTGCGAGTTCTTTTCTGCCGGCTTAGTTCACTAGCCGTTAAAATGCGAATCGTCTAAGCTACTCAGCGCGCGTGGAACAAGGAGTGATTTCGTCCGTTCCGACTAGGACAGTCGAAAACCCAACCAGAACGTTTATAACAGAAACTACACGTTTTGCTATGTAGTATTATCATTACATGTTCAACCAAACTCCTGCTGAGTCTGCTAACCGGGTAACGCAAATGTTATGTTATAGTGAAGGCAAACCACAGTACCCTTTTAAGTGAATGTAGCCGGATTGGACGACCTATGATTGGTCAATGATGGTTACGAAGGTGATTGGTAATCCGCTAATCCCTTTGCTGCTGTATTGGGCTAGTGAGCACTGTTACCTTCGGTTAACTATAGCACCACGGACTACTTGTTGGGGCATCCAAAATGCTCGAGACAGAGAATATAAATATGGAACACACCTCATGGGAAGCATTACCTAATGATCGGTCACCAACTGTTTCTAATTTACGAGTCAATTCTTGTAAACGTCAGCTATCTAGCCCCGGCTGTCTAAATGTCTTCCTGCTTCTGGCGCTCGTCACTGCGATATCTGTGATTCTATATTTTGTTATCTCCCCACTAATACAAACATCCCATAGCGAATGGGTCCAGACCGAGGTTTCGACATTTTGTGGTTATGTGCATGGGGAGAAAAGTGACGGAGTTGTGTCTTTCCTTGGAATCCCATATGCGCTCCCTCCTGTAAACGAAAATCGTTTCAAACGGCCAGTGGAACTAACGACAGATGAACTGTGTCGAAAAGCATGGGGATCTGTGGGAAAGAAAGCGATCTTCAATGCCACAAGCTACAAGCCTCCATGCTTGCAACTTGTTCCAGTCACAGATGAAATTATCGGGAATGAAGACTGCTTGTATTTAAATGTGTTTGTACCCACGGCTTCCAGTCAGAAAGGAAATGAACTAAAGCCAGTTGTCGTGATTTTTAACGGCCTGTTTTTTATGTACGGAGGTGCCAGTGGCAGCCCGGTCATGGAAGGACAGCAACCTCAGGCAGAGATGATAAAGCAAGTCGACGCAGTTCATGTGACTTTCAACTTTCGTGTAGGTCCCTTAGGATTCCTGGTTCATCCTGTGATTGGGCATACAAATGTTGGACTGTGTGACCAACTGGCGGTGCTTCGCTGGGTACGAAGCAACATCAGGGCATTCCGTGGTGACCCGACGAAAGTGACCTTGTTCGGCTACGGATCAGGAGCGACCAGCGCGCTCGCGATGAGCTACACGAAACGGGGTCAGAACCTGTTCGATCGTTTGTGGATATCCGCTCCGGCAGTGCGCAGGCCGCGGGTATCCATTGGCGAAGCTATCGATGAAGGAAAGCGTCTACTGACCTGCGGTCCCGCAACCTGGAAGAAATGTTCAGATGGTTACATCACGGATGCCGAAGATATAGTTAGATTGTGGGAGTGGAAGGAAGTTGCGGCATGGATGAGAGGTCACTATTTTGACCTTCCCAGTGTAAACGAATCCGAGCGAGCAGAGGAAATGGAGTTCCTCAGTCGAATATTGGTAGATGATGGCGATATAATTGACTCCAGTACTTGGTATGAGACATCACACCCAAGTGTTCCCCTCGTTTTGGGGCAAACGGCTTACGAGGCGGCGTTGTTTTTGACACCTGAAACTGTTCCTTTCTGGAATGAGCAAGCCTACCATCATTATTTGAGGAAAAGATTTGCTGCTAACCGTGAAATCATTGAACACTACACTGAATCTGTCAATGTGGCGAGCTCTTGCAGAGGTAATATCTTGCCTAGCGGACCATCTGATGTGGGAGCACGATTAACCGCGTTGATTACTGACGCAAGATGCACCTGTCCTCTTATTGGTGTAAGCAGAATATTGCAACCTCATCGGAATTCTATTTATCATTATTATCTGCGATCCACCCATCCGAGATTCGATCCGTATTTCATGAATTCATTTGTGGCACTGGCATCCCACGGTTGGGACGGGATGGTTTATTTGCGGGGTTACGACACGCACAGTGAGTTCATGGCGTCTACACAGGGGGATATTGTTGAGGACAACTTCCAACACAGGATTCGTCAGCTCAGTAACATTTTGAATGCTGCAATGCACGAGTTCTCTCGAACCGGAGTTATATCGAATTTTGCTTCAGCAGATGGAACACAAGTGCATATAAATTTAATCGATGAAGGTATTATTTGCAGACCAGCGAATTTTGTACGAGAACGTTGTGCATTGTGGGAAGAACTGACGGGGGGAGATCTAATGCGGTTCGCATGGCAACATTGAAAACAAATGTGGAACGAGAAGAGGAGTCAAGTGCTTTAATGCCACACATGGTTTACCAGTCTTTCAAGTCTACGATTTTTTTTTCGGAAATCCACACTCTACAAAACAGTAGCATGTCTATATGAACCAAGGTTACTGTGCATGAAAGATGGCAAAGCTCACTTTCCAGTGCTATGTTTTGGAACTTTGATTGCTAGGATAACCATGGTGCTGATTAATCAGACAATAGCTTGCGAAGGAATATTCAGTACCCACGCATGTATACCGTATATTCAAACACAGATGAATAAATGCTTGCGCGTTTACGGACCTTATAATGAAATACGGGGTCGCGATTCTGGTGGGGCATGATTATAGTTACAACGCGTGAAGAATGATTGCCTGGAATTCACTGATCTACGGGTGAGTTCAGCTAAGTATTAGTTATTGCAGTTTGAGAATTATGTGATTTACAAGCCGGTTTGATGGTCTGGCAAGAGTTTTATAAAAGTGAAAATAGAAAACAAATTGTCCCACTTCTGGCAGAAGATATCACTTTTTCTACTTGCTCGAGGGACACTAGTTCTGCTGTCCATCTTGTTTTACAGTAGCGGATAGTAAAACCAGAATATGCTGGAACTGGAACGGAACGAAAATGATGTGGCAAGATGCGGACGGCTGAACGTGCCACAACCGTCTTATAAACATGACTGATGTTGGCAAGATACAACGTATCTGAAAAGTGTGTTTCAGGGATAGTATACATAAGAAGTTGCCGCGACATCCAACGTGACTGTCACTTTGACAGTTTCATAGAGTGGCTTCCCAGACTGGCGATACTGTTGTGCCCCAGCGAAGTGTGACAAAAGTGTTTTAGATTGCGCAGGATTAGGTCGTCTCATGATCGGTGATTCTGTCCGTTTAACACTTGTAAGGACTTCAGTTTCAGAACGTATGGGGTTGCGTATTTCAGCGAAGTACTCCGTAGTCCCACTTCGAAAAGCTGCAAGTGCGTGTTCCAGCTACGGCTACCAGGTCGCAACTGTGTATTCCACGTGAGGATGAATATGAGCGCTGAACATTTGAGAGATAATAGACAAATTTATGGGTCCGAACATTTTTCTCAAGGTTTGATGTGCTAGTTGTTAACACGATGTTTTTTGATTGTGCGAGAACCTGAGTCCACCTGAACAACATTCGACAGACGAGCTCTGTGGTACATACGCACCATGCAGTGGTGTCGTGTGGAGAGCAACGTATATTTGTCCAGGCTGAACTGCTATAAATTTCGGGCTACTCATAGATGAACCCTAGCTACATCGCGCTAAAGTAGTTGCTGAGCACAGTTCATGTTAATCCATCGCCAAACCCTGATGTCGTCAAAGTCGTGACCTCCTTCGCTGAGTCGTCATAATCCGATCGCATCATAAACTAAGGATACTATCGGTCATCAGAGAATAGTGAATATAGATAAGATTTGAGGGGAGATCGCGTATGTTGTAGTCTTGGAATTAGAAAAAAGTGTTTCATGAGCCAGATGGTTGAAAAGTTTATAGAAATCCAGATAGCTCACAGCAACTCCCTCTCCAATGTCGGTGGAATCAGTTTAAATGCTTCGTACTATTAGAGTGTAACACATGATCGTTGTCGATGAAAACCGTGCTGCTCGAGAACCACAAGGCAGTAGTTTGCCAACAGGCTACCAACGCATGGGTAATAATGAATTCCATGACTGGACAGCACTGGAAGAAGCGTCATTGGGCGATAGTTCGAAGTTTCAATCCTGCTTCCTTCTTGGTGAGTTAGAATGATTATCCTGAGCTTACATATGACACTGCAAGAACTGCGTCGAGGATTCCAGCAAGTCTCTCGCTGCGACTCCAAGTGACTTTAGGCGAATGGCATCCACTCTGGAAGTGGTAGGTGCATATATACTTTGGTTTTTACAATACAGCTACAGCGGTAAAAGTACTTAATAGGAAAATGTGGAAATTTGAATGGAACGTTATAGTGTCTGAAATATCCATCGCCCTACTGAGTAGACTATATGCGTATAAATTCTGGAATCCAGACCAAGTGGACACGAAGCGGGAGGGTAACATATGAGATCAACAACTGGGGTGAAATAATGTGCCACCACAAAAATAAACAGGTGTAGCGACAGAAATCGTGTGAAACGCTGAGATAATGTTGATTGGAACAGAGATAGAGGCAGATAATGACAAAGTGTAGTTGCCAAGTTGGTATTAAATTAAAATGCCTGATATCTGTATCAAAAGTCTGTCGGTTGGCTACACAAATTAGGTGTGCAAAAATGCAATGCAAGGATTAAACCGGTTGACACGAGCGGATACGGGTGAAACAGTATGCTTCAAGGTGAACTTTCTAGTGAACTGAATTAGCTACCTCTCGAGAACAGGTTCAAACTGTTTGCCCAATGGTAGCCGCGTACCAGTAGTTATTCTTTCATGAATGCATGTCGAACGGAGGGAAGAATGTAGGACTATGTAACTGAAGAAGCTGGAGAGAGGTTGTAGGCGAAATTTCGTGTACATACTACTTGTTCACTTGTCAATTGTTCATAGCCTCGTGCACAATCTCGAACAGTTTCATCCAGCTGCCTCAAATGCGAGCTGTCAAGTCAAGCGAAACACCCACGTTAAGGTAATCTACTTTTGTTCTGGAGATGACTACCTCACCACGTGTCTGGAGAAGGTGGCCATGCACTCTACTATTCGTAGTGCCATATGCTACGACCGAGTTCATAAATGTCTACACACATTAAACCGAGATCGTAGAGTTGCGACTCGAACTAGGGACTTAAGCCGAAACCTTTGCCCTCAAGCCATCGGACGTGGCGGGTAACACTTATTAATGCGGTTTACGACTCGACGAATGGGCCAATTTGAAACTCGGGTGATTAGATTCAGATGCGTATTTCCAATCGGGACTGTGATTTCTTTCGAAGCGAAACTGGGTCAATTCGAGCACTTGGTTTACGTTCATGACTACGATACACTGATGAGTGAACCACTAATAGCATATGTCTAAGCTTCATAAGCAGCCAAACGGCCAGATTTCCCAGAGTAACAGTTTCAAGACGTTGTAAGATGATAGAGTTGCGATTGAAATGTCAATCATAGCTGAGAATGTGACTAACGGTGTAGTGAAAAGAAAAGTGTGCTATCGTACATTCAATATCCTTCGTCGCACACAATGTAACTGATGACAATGTTTATGGATATATGGCCGCAGCCGAGTAGATAACATGATAGGGTTTGTTACGACGATCGTCGTCTCAAGAGTTCACTATGCATCCAGTGAAAGTGGAAAACACACTCAAGGATGGTCCTGAAAAATACCGATTATTAAATGCAGTAGGACTATGTGTGCACTGAATATGGCCTTGGGTCTAGTGCATACGTGTCTTCCGGATCCATCCATCAGAATGCCCTTGATATTAGAGTGGCATTCATTTACTGACAGCTGCGAATGGTGTGTATAAGCTATTAATTCTAAAAATGGGTGTGGCACCTATGCAGGTGGATAGCAAGCCGAGGACGGACGGAACAAGCGCGGTTTATCGACCAGATAGGTGCTCTACTAGTCAGCGTCGTTGATAGTTAAATGTGTCAAATTTAACAACCAACAGATCCGCATTGTGGGACAACAATTCCGAAGGTCGAGAAAAGCCCAAAAACGTATTCGCCGAAACAATGCAGGCCGTAGGTACCGATGGATAGTGCCGCAGCGGGAACATGGTTCCCAGACAAGCGAAATAAAACAGAGGGGAGAAAAACGAAATTACGCAAAATGCCAATATTTATGGGATTTATCCAGTGACAAATACCAAGGCCTAGTCAAATCTGTTGCATTTTGAGGCCCTGACCTTCGAACCAAACGCGCTGGTTCTACTAGGTCCTCTTTCAAACTGAGCGTTCATGGTAGGTTCGGAGAGAATGTATGAAGAACACAACCAGATGTAAGCATTTTCAAAAGCTTTCGAAGAAGATGCTCATGTTTATCTAACCAAAGAATACTCTTGTCATTCAACAAAATGAATAAAGAATCAGCAATGGACGTAAAATTAGGAATGAAGTTGGAATACTATTGTAAAGCTCCCATCAGTGATCGAAACTCATGAATATTGGTGGGCGACTTCACATCAGCCAATGGATTTATCCGATCAGGATCTGGTTTGAATCCTTCAGATGTAACATGATAACCAAGACAACTGATCTCTTGGACATGAATTAGGCACTTCTTTAGCGTCTTTGAAGCGAGTTAAAAGTGCAAGCAGGAGTGCGTTTATCGGCAGCATGCACAAAAACCGTTCCGTCGGTCTCTCGAACCCACGCAGTAAGCTTTAATGCGGTAGCCACAGTAGCAGTCGTGAAAGTAAATTTCCTAACTGGTGTGGACGATAGCCATCACAAAAGATAGCTTGGAATCTGTAATTACTCCCATATTCTGAAGAATCTCCAGAGGGTTTAATAAGTGACAGTGAGTTAGCGAATAGCTAGGAATGATTATCGGTGACTCCTGGTACCACTATATGGTGACAGAAGCGAATATAAGCTGTGGGACAGTGTTGGACGAAAAAGGACTTGTAGCCTCTTCTTTTATTCATTGCGCGAGATCAGCAGTGACTACTGTAGTCGTAAGGGAGCATATGATGCGAGAAACTGAACTCCCGTTGATATGGCTATGGGGGGTGATGATTCAGGTACTTGAATAAGAAAAGCAACAAGGTGTATCGGGTGGTTCTATCTCGAAACGTTCTAGCCAATTGCTTAAGGTTGAAAATGGCACTGCAGATTAATGCAAGACATCATTTACCGGAACAGACAATACTCTCAGTCATGGGTTGACAAACGCCTAAAAAATACGCTTTCTTTTTGGAAGCCGTCATTTCCACGTTTTGTGCCCACTGGACAAGTAACAAAAGGTACGCAGGTGCAGTTTATTTGTGAAAATATCGCAAAATTACGCGAATTGCAAAGTGGATAAGAGGTGGCGTGAAACGGCTGAGGTGAGTCGGAAAAAGCAGGTATGGATAAATTCGAAGGACTGACAACAGGACCAATGGTTTCGATAGAAAATATGAACAGTGCATAGAAGGCTGTTGAATGAACGAATAATCGGGGCAAAGGATGCAATCGGTAAGCGGTGATTTGGTCGAATCGTTGTGAGCATGGTGCAGACCAGATTAGACCTCGCATAAAGGTATCAAGAGTATCGAAATTGGGTGCTGTCTGCCTGAAAACACTGCATTGAAGTACACATTTCGACTTCATTTGATCTCATCAGGTAGATATACCAGG